GAGCCCAACTAAACATTGTGAATAATATCTAGGTTGGGGTGGCCCATGGAGAATTTGCTGACTATTAAAAAAAGATCAGTCAAGCAAGCTTAGTCATTATGGAAGATAAGCGCTTGCTTGCCTTTAAATGTTGATACTTGCTTATGTTGAGGTGGAATTGAATATTGACAAAATATGTTTCCCGGAAATGGATGGAAGGTGAGGGATGCACTCTTGAATCTAGTAACCCAACCACATCGTTTGTAAAGGAATGAGAATGTGTGAGCAGCACAAGGTGCCTTATTTGATGATAGGAAAGTATGAGGAGCCTTTGAGACTATAGAGTCACTAGAGTAGGTGGTTGTAATGACAATCAAATCCTAAGAATCACCATAAAGGGAGACTACTAAGGAGTTGGGATCGATGATAGAAAAAGTTGACTTGTGTTGCCCAATAGAGACAAGGACACAAGTGGTTAAGATCTTAAATGAGAAAATATGAGCATCGTCCAAAGGGGAGGGCAGCAATTAGTAAGAGGGAAAGATTGTATGATCTTAGTCCTAGAAGACTCACCAAAAAACATCAGGAAAGGAAAGGGTGTAACAATAGCCAGGGGATGGTTGGCATGCAAACAAGCTTCGCACATGAGTGCAAGACGAGATGGTGGGCGCAAATCTGCATGAGACAATGTGCATATGTTGCACTAGGAATAGAGATTTGGGTAGACGGTATGCGAATAATACACAAATAACAATGAGGTTCACAAGGGACTACCACTAAGGTGAAGATGCTTCATAAAAATAACAAAACAAATATAAAACATCAACATATTTATTTGATTCATCATAATAAAGTGATAGGAAATGCTTGTAGAAACAAGAATTTTCCTTGTTGAATTTGAATTTCAGCATCTTGCAAAATAGTTTGAGAGGATTTTGGAAAAAAATAGCCAGAAGATACATTTTTATTGATAAAAGACGAAAGAAAATGAACAAGATACAATGGATCCTCAATTGGAGAGGAGGATCCGTCTCTCCTAATCTCTAACCGGCGGCTAGAGCCTAAGCAAACCCTAGAAACTCTCCAAAATTCTACAAATACAAGATAATGCTAACCCTAAACAATCTCTTCTATTTAAAACATAAAAAATAACAAAATAACCAAACATCCCTCCTACTTTGAATTTCCCTCTTAATCCCCTCTTTTAATTATGTATTAATGTGTGGACGCCATCCCCAATGGGGACGAAAAGCAGTGGAGGCGAACTGCCTCAGCTAGAATAGCAGAGAATCGGTCCAGGATATACTGTTCTAAAAATACCCCTCCTCAAAGACCAACCTTGTCTGAAAGGTGGAAAGAGGGCTCCATCCTCAACTTCCTCATTATCATAAATAGTGAGAAACTGAAGAATTTGGTCCTTACATCTGTGCCTCGGTGTGTACATCTCCTCACATTTGAATAGATCCCCTTTGCCCTCTTCTTTTGTAACTTCATCTCTGTGAGCTTCTTGAAGTTGTTCGCGGGTCTTCCACCTACAATCTTTTCCTTTTGGGTCTTCTGAAGAGTATCCGGTGTCGGCTCCTTAGGTGCCAAAAAGGTGGTGGTTATCTTGTACTATCATGAGCTATTGCATTTTATTCCTCTATCCAGGTGCCTTTGGTCCTCCACCAACTGGGCTAGCTCTATATCCTCTCCCAAGTCACAAGTCCTCATCACTCTAACCGCTATCGGATTTCTAGTTTCAGTCCCTTCATGAAGTTCCCCTCTAGCAAGATCTTAGAAAGGCAGTCGAACTGGCTAGCAAGGTACTCGAACCTCTTATTGTTCTCTATCACTGACCAATCCTGTATCAAGGCAAAGAACTGCTCATAAAAGTCTCCTCCCCTGCTTGTTCGGAATCATTCTAATAGGCAATCCTTGAACTCCCTTCAGCTTCATATGAGTCGTCGCATGTCCATCCACTGGTACCTAGCCAAAGCCTTCCCTTCCAAACATAGGCCAGCTGCCATCAGTCTCTTCTCCTCTGGCAACCCATTGACTACGAAATATCTCTCTACTTTGTAGATCCACCTGTGTGCATCTCCCCTTCAAAGATTGACATCTTCAATTTTCTCACCCTCATATCTCCATAACCCCTGTTTCCACCAAAGTTTCTCATTCCCCAAGGGTGTGGTTCCCTCCAGTTGTGCCAATCATCCCTTCTTTGCTCGCACCCAAATCTTTCATCGCAAGCCCACCTTCTTCCTTCAAATTTAGCACCCCTTCGATCATGTTATGCCACTCTCCTTTCAAAATCAACACCTCTTCAATCATAATCAAGCCTTCGCCCTTCAAATTCAGCCCTTCTTTAAAATTCAGCACCCTTCCACTCATGTCCAACCCCCTCACGTCTCTCCATATACCGTCTACTTGGCACCTCCATAGGAATATGTTCTAGGAGAGGTAGTCTCCTTTCTCCCTCTCTGATCTCTACCTCGTGATCTTCTCTTTGCCTTATTGGAATAGGGTTTTCCCTTGTTCCTTGGTTGTACGAGGCTTCCCTCGCCTCTGACGTTGCCATTTTGGGTTGACCCTCGAGAAACTTCTTCATCATCTCCCCTATGGTGGAAAATTTTCCATCCATCTTCTCGTGGATGGCTGAAATTTAACTCTTGACTTCTAAAAGTTGAGTGTGCATATCTGAAATTTCAGATTTCAATTGTCCGATCTTCTTGTCATGGGTACCCGTATCTCGGCTCCAAACATAAAAAACAACGGTTCTGGTTTTCAAACAACAAAAAACAATAAGATTGGAGAGGAAATGCAACATAAATAAGCGAAGAAGGCTTCTATTTTCACACAGGAAATTGCTTTGATTCCAATTTGATAGGAAACATTTGTAGGAACAAGAATTTTCCTTGCTGAATTTGAATTTCAGCAACTTGCAAAAAAGTTTTGAGAAGATTTTAGAAGAAATAACCAGAAGATACATTTTTATTGATAAAAGATGAAAGAAAGCGAACAAGATATAATGAATCCTCAATTGGAGAGGAGGTACCATCTCTTCCAATCTCTAGTCGGCGGCTAGAGCCCAAGCAAACACTAAAATCTCCAAAATTCTGCAAATACAAGATAACCCTAACCCTAAACAATCTTCTCTATTTAAAACATAAAAAATAGCAAAATACCCAAACAACCCTTCTACTTTGAATTTCCCTCTTAATCTCCTCTTTTAATTACTGCATTAATGTGTGGACTCCATCCTAAAGGGGGACGGAAAGTAGTGAAGGCGAATTGCCTCCGCATGGAATAGTAGAGAACCGGTCCATGATGGACCGGTATAACATAAATTATAAATCTCAATATTAAATGTTATTATAAAATGAAAGTTTGAAATGAAATTCAAAGTAAACACCCATTTAAAACTTAACTATGATGTCTTGGGGTCTAGAGTTTCATAATAAAACTATATGATGTGATGCATGAAATTACAATCACGCTTAAATTCATAGTTCATAGACCAAATGAAACAGATATTTGCTTGTTTATATGATAATTAGAAATATGGAAATACACACAAATGATAATTAAGCAATTGCCTTATATAAATTTTGCATAAAAATTCAAATCACTAAAATCACACCTCGATTTAAATTTATACCACAATTGAAAACATAGATTGCATGACCTTTAATTGAGCTCATTCACACAAGTATACCACAATATCAACAACATCAAGCCTTTATCCCACTATGCGGGGTCGGCTACATGAATCATTTTTCTCCATTGTCCTATTAAGAGTCAAATTCTCATTTAAATCTAATAAAGAAAATAATTTCTAATATTTTTTAAATAAGTATTTTTAGGTCTACCTCTATCTTTCTTAACATATGCCAAATCTAATATATCTATTCTCCTACTATGATGCACCAACACTTCTCCTCAAAGAGGTGTGCAGTGTCCAACATGTATCCGACACGACACGAGTCCGACACTCCTACGATGCATGTTGGACACGCCAAAAATATGTCCGATTAAAAAAATATTAAAATAGAAATTGGACACACCGTGTCTTAATTATTTTATGAATTTTTTAAAATATAATTTCTTGAATTTAATTTTTTTATTTTTTTAAAATATAAAAATTAAATTTCTTATTTCTTATCCACAACGTCAAATCAATCGTCCGCGCTCAATACCCCATTCATCGAATATTCTCATTTTTGTTATCTTAAGCGGGTTGCAACTTTGGTTTTACAACAATGTCTCATGTCATCTCAAAATCAACATCTGACTTTTTTACTACATCGACATTTCAAAATCATCTCCACATCAAAGTTTGACACATTCTTGACATTGACATTCGATGCTAGTAATTTCTACACCCACAACTTCACAGCTCATCTTTGTATGACATCTTCTTAACATCCACGACCAATGCCTTCTTAACATCAACAACAGACGCCCTTTTGACATTGACGCTCGATACTTACTGCATAACATCGATGCCCACTCTCAACAACATTGTAGTCTCCTCTCTCGATGCCTGATATACGACATCAAACTCTCAACATCCTAATATTAATCACTTTAAGCATAAATTCTAGTTAAATGACTTATTATTTCTAAATTATTTTTAATATTATACTTATTCAATTTTTATACACTATGTTTAAAATATAAAATTTATATTACCATGTTCAACCCGTGTTTGTGTCCTATATTTTCAATAATTGACGTGTCCTGTATCTGTGTCGTATCCGTGTTCGTTTCTGTGCATCATCTCTCTCCTAACAGGGTCATCGGAAGGCCACCACTGTTTTACATGATCAAACTATTTAAGGAGACTCTCTAATCTTATTTGTCATTGGAGCTACTCCAACTTTTTCACGGATATGCTCATTTCGTATCTTGTCTCTATGAATGAATCCAGTCATCCATCTGAGCATCCTAATTTCAGCCACACTTAACTTAATATTACTCTTTTCTTTTAATGGCCAACATTTTGCGCCATAAAGCATTGCGGGTCTCACCACCATCATATAAAATTTTCCCTTAAGTTTGAGTGGTACTTTTCTATCACTAGTCACACAAGTATACCAATAATCATAGATGTCAATGGCGCAAAATAACACGCGGCGTGGCGCACAGTGCGGAGTGGCGCAGCTACAACGCCATGTGTATGGTGCGGCTCGGATGTTTAAAATGGCGCCCACTATTTGCTAACAAAAGGAGGAATTACACGCCACAAACAACACCTCTTTCGGGGGTTTTAGGAATGCTTGACCTTGCTCTAATTGCCCTCGAGCACGTGAAGTCTGAAATTAAGGCATCCATGTTAAAAAAAGATTTAAAAGAACAATTTAATGACACATTAAATATCGACCTTGATGAAGGAGACGACTTTGATGTGATGACAAATTATATTCTAAGTGTTGGACTATCCAAAATATTGCGGACAGATATATCAACACTTCTAGTTAGAGTTCCACATTAACATTTATCTTCAAAGCACCACGACCTAAAGGTCCGTTGGATACTTTCCTTATACAAAATCCTGAAGATGTAGTAAAGCATAGAAAATATTAGTTTAGAAAAGAAATTGTTGCAACTAAAAAGGAAATGAGGGGAAGGGTTATTCAAGTTTTTAGTAGATGTATGTATGATGATGTGATTTGATTTAATGCTGTGAAATATGATAGTTTCCTTGTTATGGTGGAGGCACTTGGACAGTTTGGACATGGAATGAAACCTCCTAGTCTTCATGAGGTACGAGTTACTTGTTTGAAGAAAGAGGTTAGACATACACTGATAGGAAATACTTGATTTCAAGTAGTTCCTAATCAAAGTCTGAAGCAAATCGTGATAATTTCTGCTGTTTACAGCAGGAAAACAGTAAAATCTAGACCAAAACAGAGAAAACCTGAGAGGAAAATGGAGAAAAACTCGCCTAAACACTTGTACTTTACTAGTAGATGAAAGAAAACTTGCAAAGATACAAAGATCCTCTATTCGAGAGGAGGATCGCACTCTCCCAATCTCTAGAATTCGTTCTAGAGCCCAAGCCTCCAAGAAAACCCTAATTGCAATCAAACATAACATCCAAAAAACTCTCTAATTCCCTCATCCCCTTTAATACAAGATATTTCCTAATTTAATCTCCCTCCCAAAACCCATCTCCCCACTCCGTTTGAACATTTAAAACCTTTGGAGAAGTGGGGCCCGCCCATATTAAGCAATTTCAGTTTAAAGGAGGCAGAGGTCTCTGCCTCCTATAAACTAGCGGCTGGTTATGCCGCTGGTTCTGGACCGGTTCACAGAGAACCGGTCTAACATACACATGAACTATTACGACGTCATCAAGAAGATTATGTACGATATGGTTGTTCTCTAATGACAGCTGGATGGATGTCTAGGAATGGAAAAAAACTTAATTAATTTTTTTGTTAATTGTTCGAGAGGTAGCACATTTATAGAGACAATCGATACTAGTTTTTTCTCCAAGAACATTGAAAATGTTTGAACTTTTTTGCAAGTACATCAAGGTTATTTGACCACATAATGTGATCCAAGTTGTTACTGATAATGCATCTAAAAATGTTCTTGCAGGTTTGTGACAACTTCTAATCTGAAGTTGTGTTATTTCATATGAAGAATGAAATTTTGGTCTTAACTTAAATTATAATGACATTACAGGAAAATTATTGATGGATAAATATCATCACATTTATTGGACTCTTTATGCTGCTCACTGTTTTGATTTAATGATGGAGAAAATTTTCAAAATTCAAAAGCTAAATCGATACTTTGAAAAAGCAGTGGCAGTATACAATTTTATATATTCTAGATCTCGCTTACTTGAGTTAATGAGAAAGTGCATAAATCAAAGAGCACTTGTTAAACCCACCAAGATGCGTTTTGCAGCGGTTTTCTTAACTTTACAACAATTTCATCAACAACAATTGAACTTGAAGAAAATGTTTAATTGTGAAAAATTTATTTTGGGTCCTTATGCACAAGAGGTTAAAGCAAAATAATCTCAACATATAATCTTGTAATAATAATTTTGAAATACTATAGTGTATACCTTAAAAATAGCTGCTCTTTTATTAAAGGTTCTTAGATTGGTTGATGGAGAGAAGAAGCCCTCAATGACTTACATATATGAAGCAATGTATAGAGCAAAAGAGGCAATTGCTGCAAATTTCAATAACAGTGATAAGTATGATCAAAAATTTAAATTTATTAATAGAAGATGGGAAGTGCAATTACATCGCCTCTGCATGCAACGACACGTTTTTTAAATCCTGAATATTTCTTGAATAACTCTGATATTGCCATGGATAGGGAAATAATTGATGGTCTTTATTAATGTATTGGAAGATTGTCTAGAGATGTAAATACACTTGTGCTGAGAGAGATAAGTTTAGTTATGAAAATAAATACACATATATTCATGTTTTCTATTGAATGCGTGCGATGACAAAGGAAATTATACGTGTATTGCATTTATTTGTGCACGTAGAGTGCGAACTTCAAAACTCGTGAATCAAAGTTTATGCAAGGCCAATAAAAAAAATCATGTAGCGCCATTTTTAATATGTTTTATTTTGAAACAAATTAGAGGCTCTTTTTGGATTGTTCAAGCAAAGAGAGCATATATTGAGCAGCGTCCAAAGTACTTGTTTCGGAAATTAATTAGGCGTGCCATAAGTGGCAGAGCCAACACAGCATTCAAAGAACATCGTTCTTAAGTTTGAGAACTTTCGTCAAGTTTTCATATGTGATTGTTCTTGTGATTCGATTTCCTGATCAGCATAAATCTTATACTTTTGGATCTTTTTCATACTTGTGATGGTTTTAACTGTATTCCTTTGTAATGCAGGAAAGAGTTGATAAATGGTGCAAGGGAGAATTTTATTCAACAAATTCCAGGATCATTAAAAGGACGCCTCATAGAACTCTTAAAGTCATTTAGTCAAAGCAATTCTTTATTGGACATTTGAAATTCCTTCGGCTGTACTTAGATGATGAATTAATGTAATTATCCAATTTTTTTTTTTTCAAAATAATTTATCCTTTTGTTTCACTGATTACAGCATCTCTTGTTAATCAGATACAAGTTGTTTAAAAGAGTCGATAGAAAGCTGTTGGGTTTGCAGTTTTCTTGGCCACTGATGAGCTTGGTGTAAAATCTGTAATTCTGATATATTCAAATTTTGACGGCACCTTTGCGGAAACTCCTGGTATGCTGTGAACTTTCTTTATTATTTTCCTGTGCCCAAATCTGTTTTATGAAGGCACTTCAGAATTTTCTAAGAACTTTATCGGTTGTTCTTTTGTGTTTCCAGGTTTATTTGAGAATCTTTTCGCCATCACCGTCTTTTCATTCCTTGAATTTTGAACAATTGAGGCTGAAAATTTTGCTATCGGTGATTCGGTAGAGATCAATCACATAATTGTATTCTATTGTAAGATATTTTTTTTTTTAATGATATTAATGATTCTCAATTAACATTGCAATCTTTTTGTTGTTTCTGAAGTTAAGGTTGCATTTAGGTTCTAAAGAATTAAAGCCTTAGTTATATGAATACATAATTGGCATTTCTTCATTTAATCTTTTAGTTATGTAGCGCCTTACCAAAATGTCTGTGTTTATTGTTTTCCTAATTCCATGTTAGATCTTTGTTTCCATGTGATGCAAGTCATTAATGTTGTTATGATATACTGGACAGGTGCTGTCTTTTACTCAAAATGCTGTTTACCATTTGTTTACACATGGCTCTTATAAATTTTCTATTATTCTTGGCTCTATTTCTTCCTAGCATCCTTATGTTTATGGTTTATATTGAATTTGTACGATTGATCTGCTATTTAAACTTTCTATACTCTTATTCTTGCTTTTGATGGAGCTGGATAAGGGAAAGAAGAAGGGGAAGGGGAGGAGAAAGGGAAGACTGGTCTCAATTTGGAAGAGAAGAATGTGCCACCGGACACTATATAGTCCTCATTTCTTTGATCAGAAGCTGTGCATTCCTTTTTAAATGAGGACCATTTATAAGAGATGAACTCTAGGGCATAGCTGATTAGAATAGTATATTAAAATAGCCCCTTGGCCATGCAAGTATAGTTGTAAGGTCTAATGACTCTTTTAATAAGGTAAACCATGCTGAAAAGCAACATGGGCCCACCTACATGTAAAGACAAATAACTCTTGATTGTTTAGAATCAACTCTATCAAGGTGATGATAGTTGAGTTCATCTTCGAGTATGGTGGGTGACAAGAACCACATATGGATGGTGGAGGCGATAGGTTTACTTCTTGAGAAGATCAAAACCCAAGTGTTGGAGTCCATCATGAATTATCCCAGAATCATTTATAAGAGGGCACCTATGTCATTTTATAAGGTAGTATTGTTAATTAAAAGGGTTGATTATACTATCTTCTCATGAGTAATGACCAATTCCATAACTTAGAGGCATGGATGTCACAGTGGAATGGATGTCAGTGGGAGAGGTGTAGAGACCCCACTTAAGAGCAAAAGAGGCTTAAAGTGCCTCCATAAGGCAAAAAATCCATAATGTTGTAACTAGAGCTCATAATTCATTTCAGGTGGCAAGTTTAATATGTAAGAATTGGGTTATAATTGTCTAATAATGTGATAAGGTCCAACAATTCTGGCTTCTCATTTCTTTTATTTGTTTGGTGGAAAATACTTGGGTCATATACGAGCCAAGACAAAATCACCTTCTTTGAAATCTTGATTAACTTTGTGTGAATTAGCAATTGCTTGATATTTTTGTTTGTACCAAATTGTTAACATGTGTTTGCAACTTTTGAAAATGATCCACAAAAGATGCATCAATATCTCATTATGCGTGGAATGGAGATGCTAATGTATCTATATGTTTTTAGGGAAAATGCCGTGATTGACTTTCAAGGGGAAATTGCTTTTCGTTTTACACGTAAGGGTATAATATGCAAATTTTGTTGTTTGTAGTGCAAATGCTAATTATTCAAGCTATTTATAAAAATACATCTAAGGAGGATGCTCAAACTTCAACCTTATTTCAATCTTTGATATATGAGTGAAATAGCTCATGAAGTCTTATAATGCAAACCTTCAGTTTAACGAAAAAAAAATCTTATTTAGCCTTCTAGAAATAGCTCAAGAATCCAACATTATTGAAATAACTAAGGTTTCCGAAAATTCGGCCACGGCCTCCGCCCGGTTGTGTTGCTTTTTCTTCTTTGGGGGTGGAGTTTTAACGTATTTAAGTTTCGGGGTAAATTTTGGGAAGGCAGATGAGTTTGTAGATAAGACATTACCCAGAGATTTCGCCCTCATTTTGCGAGGACTTTATGATCTGAGTTCTGGTTTCCTGCAGGCGGAAGCCCCTATAGTTAATTACCCCTCCTAATAACGAGAGAGAACTTTTGATTAAGGCTAGTCGTCAATCAGATACGTAGAGATATGTGTATCTGTCATATAGTAGCGGCAATGAGCATTTGAAATTTAAAGGGTTGATATTTAAAATTGGAAATTTCACAACCTTGCATTTAAAACAGATGGTGGGGGAATGGATGATCGACCTGATCACGATCCCATGGTTCCGTCGCCCCAGGCCATCGTGGTCCCTGGTCTACTTAGTCAGAGGAGGTAGTTGACCCAACCTGACAAAAGGATCCTTGTTGGCAGCCATGGGTTGCTTCGTCCTAGGGGACCTTGTAGACTTGGGGTGAGTATTTTTCTAAGGGGATAAATTTGAATCCACCTTAGCTAACTGAGGGCTTTGTGCCCTATCGATCATATCCTATTGATTCATATCTCAAGGATTTGATGCCATTTAGAAGCGTATTGGCTCTGGCCATAATCGGTATTTCATGGTGCCATTTGGCGGCAAAACCACTCGGTTCAGAGGGCCCCAGGTTATAACCGTTTATCCCGTGGTGCCATTTGGCGGCAAATCGTCGGTTAGAGGACACGTACCACGTCCTTACTTACAGGAGATTTTTTTTGAGAATGGATCCTAGTGATATTTTCGATTAGGTATTAGCTCTATGTGAGCTGAAGTAATTTTAATTTGTCCACCTCGACAAACTATTGTGGAGGATAGATGGATTTTGCCTTAAGTGTTTCATGTTTGAATTTCAATTTTAAACATCTTGGGGTTTGGAATTTTTGTACTTTCGGGCATTTGAATGATATTTAAAAATGTTTGTGAACCCCTCCGGTTGAGTTTTTCGTTCAACACGGTCATCATCGGGGTGTTCGGGGTCATTTCCGTTTGTAGCTTGAACCTTGTCAACTCTGTCGAGTTGTCGACAGAGGATCGGGTTTCTTAGGCTTTTTTCCTTTATTAGTAAATTCTCATTGTTATAGGCCTTGAAGGCCTAATATAAACGTATTAAAACAAATATACCGGTCGCCGCAACCACATATTTTTTTGATGGTTCGAGCCCTGTCGACTTCTATTGATCCGTATAGAAGGATCGGGTTCGAACTTAAATTCACTTATTAACCCGCGCAGCATCCCTAGACGTCACGTGTGTACCAATAAACTTCTCATATACTTCAGACCCTCATGAATTCTTACTATATTATCATTCTTCTTATTCAAGCCATCTTTTACTATTAGATTTAAGATATGACAATGTTCTCTTCAAGTAATCAATGACATCTATATATGAACTTGCATTGCTAACTGTAAGAGTGCAAACTCTAGCAAATTCCCAATTCAAAATGCATGGTCCCAAAACTTTTCCAATAGCTTTGCAGTTGTGACTCAAGATAACCCAGAAGTTAAGGGTCCTTTTTAGAGCATCCAATCTTGATCAATGTAATGTTTGGTGAGACATAAATAAGAAATATTTTGCAAAGATTTCCAACAACCAGTTGTCAAGTTAATAATCGATTTCATGTTTACAACTGCCTTCCTTTCGTTGACCTTCTCATTGAAATAAATTTTCATATAATCGCTCAGTAAAGTTATTCGTAAAACTAGTTTAAATCTTGGTTGCAAAATTCTAATATGCTGTAGAAAACCTTGGATTTCAACGAGCTTGAATAACAACTCATCTATGATAAATCTATTAGTCAGGTGCTGCCCTATCAATATCTTCAATTAATGAGAGAATTAATGGAAGTTTGGTCACCTTTCTATTGGGCCTCTCTTCTTTTCAAAGGATAATAACTTGTATTTCCACTTTGCTTTTTTCATTGGTACTTGGCCAACTATACTCCTTACCACAAAGTTACATGTGGCTGAATTGGGTTTACTATCATCTTTCATTTTAACCTTTGTCGAATGACCCCATGTATGTGAATTCAGCTTATATTTGTTGCCTGAGAGTAGATAGCCATGACAAGAGAAGAGCTAAAGTGCCTGTCTGGCTTGTTGGCTATTGGTTCAAGGTTGGAAGATATGAAGATAACATCATTGAAGAGATGAAGAGTTGAATTTCGTGCAATAGAGACACCACAAGTTGCATTTGCTATGTGAGATATTGTGATGTTATGTGCCAATGTTAGTTTGATGCTGCACAAAAACATCTGACATGTTGATGTTCAATGGAGGAAGGAATGAGATAAGAATTGAGAGATGCTGATTATGGACATTGACTAGGGCATTTAGGGCACATGCGATATGTAAATTAAATAAAACTATGATATCTTCAACTGAAAAAGTTAAAACACTAATGTCTAACCTCCCTCCTTCCTTGTGACCTTCTCGATGCATTAACTCATCAGCCTTTCAAAAATGCGGAACACTAATGCACTTTATTGCATTCCATCCTTATGTGGCTATATTTGATGACAACAATAATATTCGGGTCGGCTTGGATTCGGGTAACCCATCTAAGGGAACCGGGAACCGATTCTTGGCATTTTAATTGACTTGAACTGAGATCCATTATAATTGACCCAAGTTGATCTATTCAGCTATGGTCAATTTTTGAGCTCTTTAGATAGTTTTGTACACTGCTACCTCTATATGGCGACATTCAAGACTAACATTGTAATCATAATCTTTCTATTTGTGCTTGTGCTTTTTAATATTTACCGTGTTAGGAATTTTAATAATATCAAATAAGAAGATACTATTAATTTAAAATTAGTGTATATGTCATAGATAAATTTGGATGTTGGAAAAATAGATTAAATACATTAATTGTTGATATATTTTGTGTGCAGTGTAAAACATAGTTTGTGATAATAATTTTTTGCATTTAAGAATTATTTTAATATTACATAAGTTCAAATTTTAAGTTATTTGTAGATTGTAACTTTAATTGGTCACATGTAGTTGAGGATGTGTAAACATAGATTTGAAGCAGATCGTACTTAAAATTGATTTAAATTAAAGAATATAATGTTTTTCATTACGGACTTAAATTTAAATAAATTTTTTACCCTCTCTATAACAAGAGAGTTCGCTGACTTCGTGATTGCTTGCTTAAGAAATACTCTTGGAGCTCCGGTTTGAATCCCTTTGCCTGCCAATGCTGACTACTGATCTTTATCGGTTTCCGGCAATATTCAAAATCATACTTTTAACTATCATAATTTAAAGTACATTTCAGACAGTGTAGAATTGCAATCTGAAGCTACGCATACCATTTGATGCTATCTTTCACTCTAGATGTGTTGAAATAATGGTTTACTGAA